ATCAATTAATATAGTTGTAGGTAGTATTAAAAAGTTCATTATTAGCTAAATAGACAACCTCAGATTTACCTACCTTGTCTGCTAACACCTGAATAGAATTAGTAAGGTGGGGAAGATTGGTTTCCTGTTTGCAGTTAGTTTTTTTCTCCTTAGAAGTCAGTGGGGACATGATGGGTCTGGGGATCAAGGGTAGTGAGAACAAGAGCTCTTAGCCGTGTCTGAAAGGGACCTCAGCCTTGGTAGAAGTAGAGCTTGCCCCTGGCTGGTGCTATTGGCTGAATCACATTTCTTAGAGCATCCGAACCTCATCTAGATATCTCCCAGAACGCTTGTGAGTTCAATTAATATACACAAAGTGACCACAACAGTGTCAGTCGTATTTTAAGTAATATTAGATTATTGTCAATATTATTGCCATCTTGAAGAAAAGAACGCCTTTTAAAATTTCAGCACAGTGTCATATTTAAAAATTGCTGACATTTATGTATTTTATACTAATACTGTGCATTCTAATATTTGATTTGCAAAATACATGATGGTGGCACGTGTGTACAGGACATCTTCCTGCCATAGCAGAACACAAAAACTCCCCACAAGCTATCCTGTTTCTGCACATCTATGTTTTAATGAAGTTACATTTGAATTTATGGCTTTCTTTAAGGGCCAAAGGAAATGTCATGGATGTCCACTGTTAATGTGTAATACTCGAATCTCTGATACGTTTATAGGAAGAGGGCAATGGCTAGTTGGGGTTTTTTTCAATGACTGAAAAAAGACAAAATCTTAGAAAAATGTTGGGCTGAAAAAAATTAGAGAATCTTAGGTGTGACTTGGGACAGAACTTGCAGGTCTCCTATTCCATCTTCTTTATTTACAGGTATCTCAGAACAGTTCATTAATGTACTAAAGGTCAGGCAGCTAATACATGGCAGAACATGACAGTGTTCAGTGGCGACTGGGTATTTGATTTGTTGGGGAATCTGGATGGATGGAGTGGTGACTATTAGCCAGGCTGGTGCTCCATCCAGACTGTTTCCAGAGGTCCCCTCGGAGTCTAGGTAAGATGGTCAGTGGAAAACTCAGGGACAGAGGGGTCTCTAAGCAAAATCAAGCAAAGCCACACTCTCTTTTGGTCTTGTGCATCTGCAGGATGTAGAGAAAACACTGTTCAAAATTAGAAGAGCCTGATCCAGCTAGGCACGGTGGCACATGCCTGGAATCTCAACATTTAGGGGAGACTGAGTCAGAGGATTACAATTTCTAGTCCTGCTTTGTCAATTGAGAGAGTCCCTGCCTTAAAACAAAGAATTGAAAAAAGGGCTGGGAATGTATTTCAGTGGTAATGTGCTCCTGGGTTTGATGCCCTAGTACTGGGGAAAAAAAGATTCAGGCCCTATTTCTGGTTCCATCCCTTCCCTCCCATCTTCTGAAGCATAACTTATATATAACTTTTAAAAATACACAGTGCTTTGAATTTTGACAAATGCATACAGTCATCCATCACTGCTAAAATATAGGTAGAGAACAGTCCCATAATCTCCAAATTTTCTTGCTTTTTTATTTAACTATTTTCCCCCAGCCCTCAGTTCCTGGCAACCACTACTAACCTATTCTCTGTCCTCATAATGTTGCCTCTTTCAGAATGGCAAAGAAATGGAATCATATAGTATGTGACCTTTTGATTCTGGCTTCTTTCACTAACATAATGCATGTGAACCTTGTCTTGACTGTGTTCTTACTGACTGCGGGTCTCTGAGTAACTTGTTTAGCCTTTTTCATCCTTAGTGTCCTTACCTGTAAAATGGGCATGACACTTACATTCATGTTGTATGCTTAGGAAGAAAGTACGCACACACATGTGCATTAGATAAGAGGAAAAGCATGTGTTCAAGACTCATATTCTTCTTATGACGTTGCCCTTTGAAGAGATTCCAGGTGCAAAAGCAATCCTATCCTGCCCCATGGAAGATTCGTTTGCCGAGCAGAGCAGTATCCACCACCACTGTGAAACTCTTCCCCAACTAATGGGCTCTATAACTTGATTCCAGGGCTCAAAATCTTACAGGAAACATTACCCAACAGGGCCTGTCAGCAGGGAATATAGATTTCTCCATCATATTACTCCCCCAAGGTGTGGGAAAGTCTAATCTGTCTCTAGAACACTTTGATCTATTTGGATGAAAAGCAGTTTTCAAAATACAACCACTACTGTAGCTAATAATTTATAATAGTAATTGTATTGCAGAGAAAATAGGATTTCCTAACATACGGAGCGCCAAACAGTTTGACAAGAAGGCTTCTCTTGGCTCAAAATGCACAAGGAGGAGCGTGAAATCCACATTTGCACTTCCTTCCGAGAGCTCTGTGATTCCGAGGTATGGAACACATATTACTAACTTATATTCGCTGGGCATTGTTGCCTAGATGTGGAGTGCAGGACGCCAGCCTCTGATTTTGCCTTCTCATCCAGGGACATGTGCTTGGCAGACCAGCTGAATGAGTGGAAATACAGTTCATAGCCAGAGGAGGAAAACAAACTGCATGGGGAGACATAGACGCTATATCTGGTCTGCCATTAATTGTGTGACTTTGCCTCATCCATGAAACAAGGGGGTCATAATAGGTTACCATGGAATCTCAAGCTATGTCCTGAAGGACAGAGGCAGGCTCCCAGCTCTGAGCACTAGGGCAGGGGGAGAAGAAAGCCACAACCCTGAGCCTTCGAGTGAGAGCTTTCAGAGAAGCTCACTCTTGCCAGCACTAGATGAATAGGATTCCAATAAACATATTGCTGAAGTGTTTGTTTCCGGGTGTCATTTTAGACTGCAAGTAGCTAAAACAGATCCGGCTCCTATATATAGATCCTGCATTTGGTTGCGTTCTGGGAGGCTTTTATTACTACGCTCCTTGGCTAGCTCCCAGCTGAGCTCTTCCCTCAAGGGATGAGATTTTGGAATCAGAAAGTCAAAGAAGAACAGTGACCATATTAAGGGGTCTCTCTCTCTCTCTCTCTCTCTCTCTCTCTCTCTCTCTCTCTCTCTCTCCTCTGTCTCTTCCTCTGCTAATCCTCCATTCTGCAGGTGAATGCCAGCGTGGACTGGCTTTTCTCTTTGCTCAAAATCCCCTAATAATAATGCTGATGGAAACTGACCAGCCCCACCATGGCAGTAAATATAAGCAAACACCCCTGACACCCTGGATTTAAAGGAAATCTCATAGAATCTGGGTTGAAATGATGTGCAGATGGTCACAAACAGCCCAATCTTTAGATAAGAGGACCCAGGACCTTTTGTAGCTAGAACAAAGAAAGGGGCTCTTAAGGGTGGGGTGCTTTAGCAGGGTGGCTGAGCCTCTGAATTCACTCATGAGTTCTCCAAGGAAAGATGTGCCAGTAAAAGAACGGTGAAATCAGGAAGGTGGAGGTGAATGCAAGAGGAGGAGATGCAGTAGGGAAGGAGGAGGGGACGGGAGTTTCCCTATGGAGGCAATGTTAAAGGCTTGCAGTCAGATGTTTTGAAAATGTGCCTGCTCACTGCAGAGACAGCCCCTCTACTATGTGCCCTTTGTTTTCTCTGCCCCATTTTACAGCATCTCCCTTCACCTGCTCGGGGCTTTCTTTATGTTCACCCTCCAGGAATCTAACTGCCTTTCTGGTCTCCATATTTTAGGTGCCTCACCACTTCTTTCTCTTTTCCCTTCCTCTCTGCTTTATTTTTCTCTCTTCTCTTCCCTATTTCTCTTTCTTCAGTCCTTTCTCCTCCCAGATTCTTCTGTTTCCCAGTCCTCCTGCCCTCCCTTCTCCATTTCAGTCCTTTCCCCTTCCATTCCTCCCTTCCCCCTCCCTCCCTTTCCCTTTTCCCCTTTCCTCACTCCTCCCTCTCCCTTCCCTTTTCTCTTTCCCTCGCCCCTCTGTCCCTTTCTCCTCTCAGTCTACTTTCCCATCTCCCCATACCCTCTCCTGTCTCCTCTCTCTTTCCCCCTTGCCCTTTCCCTCCCTCTCCTCCTTGTCCTGGTCCTTGTTTATCTGTAAGCTCCAATTTCTAGCCTTATAGATTTACCTGCAGAGCAAGACACCGCTCCTCTTGCAAAAACTGTTTAAGAAATCCATATCCTCTCCCTTCATTCCTTGGGCATTTCAGAAATGATATTCCTCCCCCAACTACCCCCGTCAAAATAAAATGAATTCAGCCAGCTCCTGCTGTGTGTCCTTAAATTCATTCCCTCTAGCTTTGCTGGTTTGAAAGCCTGTACCCTAGAAGGGGCCTCCTGCATTTGCTGGCAACCCTGCTCGAGTCTGATCGCCACAGATAGTGCTTTGGAGTGAAAAAAGGGGGAAAAACCCTCTCGTTGGAGATTTCAAAACAGATTCTACCAGCTTTCAAATCTGTGCACTTGCTGAGTGGCGGGGTTTGAGGGAGAGGGGTTGAGGACTTGGGGTGTGGGTGTTTGTCATAAACAAATAAGCAGCAGAATTTATATATGTATAAATTTGGGCTTCCCTTGGCATGTTTGGTGTCTCTCTCCCTGGCATCGAGGGTGGGTGCTGTGTAAGTCTGACTTCTCTCAGAGTTTTGCTCGGGTTTGGGGTGTGTGTGTGTGTGTGTGTGTGTATGTGTGATGGAATTGAGGAGGGGGTGCTGTGTTTTTGATCTGATTCACTTGACAGATTCTTTGAATCCAGCCCACCTTTCCGCACATGTCAAACAGATGGGATCATTGTTAAAAGCTTTGAGAGCCGGGGCTGAGCGGTGGGTAAGGCAGGGAGGGGGAGACAGGAGGGGCAGCAGGGGAGGGGGGCACCTTCCAGTGGCTTTGTGTTTTCACACATTGGAACTGACAGGAACCCTTCTTCTCGGGGTGGGGGAGTGTTTGGGGGTATGGGGCTGATGAGGGGTGGAAAGAGAGAGAGGTGGGGTGTTGGTGGGCAGGGTTATGATGTCACAGCCAAAGTTACAACAGGAGGAAAACACAGAAATGGTTCAACAGTTTTTTTTTAAACTTTGGACTGCCAAGAGCTGAAGGAGAGTGGTGAGCAAAGGAATGAAGGGGAGAGAGAGAGAAACTAAACTGGAAGCTTGAGTTTTGTGTTGCTTCTTGAAACCTTATGAATGGATTACTAGCAGCTGAGAGCCAGGAGAGACCTATAGGGGATGCAAGATCACTTACACACTAAAAGGGGGAGAAGAGAAGGCGGAATCCTTCTTCCATGCTGTGTTACCCCCTTCCTGAAATGAATGGTAGGAAACCTTTATCACAGGGTCGAGGGGTGGCATGGGGGAGGGGGATTTTGCTTCTCCTTTTCTTACCTGAGTATGTTCCCTTCTCTTACACTAAGCCTTCTCTTCCCGCTTTTCTTCAGCCTCTGCTCCCTTTCTCTCTCTCTCTCTGTCTCTCCCTCTCTCTCCTCTCTCCTCCCTCTCTTCTGCTTTTCTGACTTTCTTTACATTCTCCCCCCACCCCAAACCCTCAATCTTTATTCTTGATCTGCTTCAGTAAAGAAGAACCACAGTCAGAAAAGTGAATGGAGCTGAGGAAGTGAAAGAGAGAGAGGCAGCTGAGGATTGAGGGATATCTGCTTAGTAATATCCACGTGCCTGCTGATAGCTTCTTTGGGGACTTTGAGGCTTCAGAGGATGCTACATGGGGAAACAGCATGCCAGGGGTAGGGTGTTTTGTATGCAGCTTTTAAAAAGCAAGTAAGTCAGTTATTACCCGGGTTAGAGGAGTTTAGGACATAATGAGGAAACCTAAGGCAGAGGAGGCAGTGTGATCTTACTCTGAAGTATGTGGGCTGCATGTTTCAGATGTGGGCAACACATGCAGTGACTTTCAAAGTGTAAGTGATTTTCTTAGTTTTGGAGCGAAGGACCTAGTGTATTTCTCTACCTGTTTTGTACCAGCCATGGTCAAACATGCTTACTTGTATCAAACTTCAGAGCCCGCTCTGTGTGTGTCCATGTGTCCATGTGTTTGTGTACATGCACATGTGTATAAGGGGTGGAGACTCCGAGAAAGCTGGCATCTAAGCTTCTAGGCAAACATGACAGAGGTTAGGATCAAAGTATTTACTTCCCTATTCTATCCATTCATCTCAGATCAATTGGAAAAGTAATTTCTTGAGTTTAGCTGTTCATTTTTGTAAATTACTTATTTTGAGCCTCTCATTTGTTTATTTGCTCACTCAGCATATGATGACTTTTACTAACTTCAGATTGAGAAACTTCTGAAAAAAAAAGATCTATGTACTATGAATCTATGGCATTTCCATGTAATGGTTCTTACAGCAGATAATTGATTTCTTCTTTCTCCCAATGTCCAATATGAAGTGAATATGGAGTATTGTTCTTTTAAATGATTGATTGAAATAAGGAAAAAGTACAAGAGATTTATGACAAAACAAAAGAAAGAGATGTATGGTTCCTGAAAGCTTAGTGTGGGCTTATTAGGCAGGTCTGATAAAAATGTGTGTGTGTGTGTGTGTGTGTGTGTGTGTGTGTGTGTGTGTGTGTGTGAGAGAGAGAGAGAGAGAGAGAGAGAGAGAGAGAGAGAGAGAGAGACAGAAAGAGATAGAGAGAGTACACACAGGAAAGAGTGCTCCAAAACAGTATTGATTTTTTGCTATTGATTGTGTAGGCTGTAGCTGCTGAGAGAGAAAGCCTGAGATGTTTACTGGGGAAACCAAGGGTAGCATTTGTCCCCTGTGCCTCTGTGAGGTGGGGAGGTTTTCAGGAAGAAGGAGGGGACAGGGAGTAGGTGGAATGATGCACCCAACTTATTAGCTTTGACATCATTGTCTTTAAATGAAAACACGAGAAGATAATTACAGGCAGAGATAAAGGGAGAGAGGGGGAGCAGGAGGGACTGGAGGAAGGGACAGGTCCCTTGAATACATGCTCTTCATTTTGTTCTTTTTTCCATCTTCCCAGGGACCCACAGGACTCCCAGAAGGTGAAGTCAAAGGCTGTCAGATTCATTTGATTAGGAGAACAGCAGACTGGCAACCAGGAGGAGAACTTTCCAGAGACTTAGAACATACCAACAAGTTGGAAGGGGATTTAAAAAAACCTTCAAGCATCAACAACCACGAACTCCAAGCTGAGGGGAAGAATCTAACTTCCAAGGGTGGACTAGAAGCTGGATGGGCACCTGACTGAGGACATCTGGAAAGAGGAAGTTAAGTACCAGCTTGGATTTCTGTGCCCCCAGATTCTTTGTGCATTTTCCATCAATAACCATCAAATTTTGTGTCTCTATGAAAAAGTTTTCCTAGCCATTTGTTTTAAGGTGAACATATTTGGGATTAAGGGCTACAAAAAGAGAAAGTAATGTCTAGAGAAAAAAGAAATGAACATTAGGGAATGAGATTATTTTGAATGACTTTGGGTAGCCAGGAGTATGTGTTTGTGAGTGTGAATTTGAGAGAATTGGGCTTATGACATATTGTTCTAGTATCAGAGAAGGAAAGAGTTATTGAGGAACAAAGAAAGAAAAAGAAAAAACCTGAGCTTTCTGGGAAGAAATTCAAAGGAACCAAGAGCAATTAACTTCATTCTGCAAGGACTAAAATAGAGGTAGAAGAGAGGTCAAAGGAGCAGTGTGAGGGAATCATACACGGTGGGAGCAGCACGGAAGCCACACTAGCATAATTTCCACCACAGGGGGCCAGAAGAGGCACTCTTTTGGGCTACCTGAAAAAGTTTGGTTTGTGAACAGAACAGTTTCCCTGTGACTGCAAGTCCAGTGCTAGCCATCTCTTTCTGCTCTCTCCATCACTCTGGTGTGGTACCCAGAAATCGACTTCTGGCTCTGTGGGAAGAGCTGAGGGAGGCATGATGTGTTTAAAGGTCCTGAGACTAAGCCTGGTGATCCTGGCTGGATGGCTGTTCAGCACCACCCACTCTGAGCTCGGCTGGACTCCCAAGAAATCCTTTGCTCAGAAGGGACATCTGAAGCAGGTGCTGTTGGAAGGTGAACACTGTTGGCTGGGGGCTAAGATTCAAAGACCCAGAGCTGCTCCCCAGCATCACCTCTTTGGAGTCTATCCCAGCAGCACTAGGAACTACCTGAGGCCCTTCTCTGTGGGGGAGCAGGGAGCTCATTACGCAGGACACAGTAAGCCAGACACTGAGGGAAAGGGTGTGAGCCATGTCTCCCAAAACCTGCCTGAAAATACAGCAGAAGTGGGGAGGGAGAGTGAGCAGCCAGCTGCCCCTTGGGGAGGGGATGGTCCTATTGGGCAATCTGAGCTGCCAGGAGATGATGACACTTATCTTGGCAACCAAGGATCCAAGGAGTCTCTAGGTGAGGCTGCATTCCGGGAAAGCTCAGCCAGAGCCACCATTATCACCACCACCTTTGCACACCTGAAGGAACCTGAAGCAGACACCCAGAGGAAGGGCTGGGCCAAGGCCAGGCTTCCCCGGCAAGTGGTGATGAGGCAGGCAGAAGATGTGCCTGGAGACCCCAACATCTCTTTTCAGCCTTTCCAACACTGGCCTAAAGACCCCCTCACAGACAGGGCTCAAAGCAGCCCATTGGAGGACAGCATCCAAAATGGTGGCGGGAGCCCTGACTGGGAAGCTGAGACCTTTCACCCCCAAGGAGGACTGCCTGTCTTGTACTTCTCTGGGAGGCGGGAGCGGCTGCTGCTGCGTCCAGAACTGCTGGCTGACATTCCCAGGGAGGCGTTCACAGTGGAAGCCTGGGTGAGACCGGAGGGAGGACAGAACAACCCAGCCATCATTGCAGGTAATGACCCACTCCTGGGCTTGCTGAGGTCCTGGGGTATGGCTGGCTCCATTTCTGATGGGGAGAGGCACAGGCAGCCACAGGGAGTGGGGACAGAGCAGGGAAGCCAGGAAGGGCTGACCAGGGAGGGGTTGGGGGTTGGGTTTTTTTTTATTAGCAGAGCTGGATTCCAGACCCCATCAAAGATAAGGTAAAGGCCCTGTCACCATAATTATGTGCCCCATATATGGATCCCACCTATTTCTGTACATCATGCTTGCACTTTTGAGTCCTTCACCCCAGCTCTTACCTTCCTTAAAAGGCTAGGAGTCAGGTTCCTGGAAGGCAGAGGCATCACACTGTTTCTTGTAGTCAGTATGGGATAATCAGGAATCTTTGGAAATCAATTCAAGTCCAAGGACCTAAGCTGTGAGTCATGCCATGGTCCAGGCAGTGAGGGAACAAGGATGCCAGGTACACAGCCACCAAGTCCTGACTGATTGCCTTTTCTCTGAGCAGCCCAGGGACTAGGCAGCAAGGCAGCACCTGTTCAATGTCACGGGGTCCCTTTGCTTTGTCCCAATAGCTATGAGTACATCCTAGGAACTGCTGGAAAAGGTGAGCACTCATAAGCCGGAATCCTGGCTTTTAGCCCTGGCTGCTGTAAGAGGGATCTAAAAATGAAACCTGTATACTATGGTGTTAATTAGAGGCAATTGCCTGGAATATTACCTGTATTTATTTTCTGCTGTACACAGATCTTGGCTTCTATGAAAAGCCAGCCAGAAAGGCAAAGAGTAGAGTAAGATGAGTCCTGGCTCGGCTGCTTGCTGAGCAGTTCAGCCATACCAACCCTTGTAGAGAGACCCCCACCCCCACCCCTTTGCCTTACTGGGAAGGTTGATTTCAAGCAAGGGATGAAGTTTAGACATCATTCAGTGTCTCATTCTCATTTTGGATCCCCCACAAGAGTACTTAACACAAGGTAAGGCACAGAGCAAAATCATTTAATCTTATTAATTTGGATTATCCACAACATTCTGATGTTTGCCAGTCCCATGACACTGATGGAGAAACTGAGGTGATAAGAGACATCTCAGAGGCAGACTGGGGATAGAACCCCAGAGCCCCTGAATTGCTTGACAACTCTCCAAATTGAAAACTTCTCAGGTTGCTAGGTCCCTGCAAATAAGTTTCAGACCAAGGAAAGAAATCTGGAAGGAAGGAGCGTCTTCCAACAGGGTATTGCTGGAACATCCCTTCCGGACACTCTGTCTCCCCCTCTTTGGCTGTGATTTCTCCTTTGGAAGCTGGGATTCCCAGACACTGAACACTCTCAAGTCTTGTGGTTTTGCTTTATTTTATTTTGGGGTGGGAGAGGGAGTGAGAAAAGGGGAGAAAGAAGGGTCTAGGCTGGAAGCTAGGTGGGGCAGAGAAAATGCAGAAGGAAATCCTTATTCTGGGGCCAAAAGGAAGAAATAATGAGATGATTATCTGATCAGAGTTGGCAGCATCACAATTTTTCCCAGATGACATCTTCTTGCTGCCTAATCTTGCTTCCTAGTACCCATCTGCCAGGGAAACTGCATGTTTGCAGTCTAGACTGAGACCCACATTTCTGCTCACCCCTCCTCTTGCAGTAGCAATGGAGGGACCTGGGATCAGTTCCCTGGCTGTGAAGAATTAGAGAAAGATCCAACAAGAATACATGTGGGAGGGACTGAGGGGCTATTGCTTCGGGTTATTCAAGCTCCAACCTGGGGAAAAAGCCTCAGCTCTGTGGGTACCTGACCCCTGTCCTGTTTCCGCACATGTCTATCTCACGGTGTGCACAGGGGAGAGCAGTGTCATGATCCCCCTAACCCCTCCACTGTGCATCTCCTTACCTTGTCCCCTCGTCCGTCACTGCCAGCTGCCTCCACACTGCCACAGAGCACACCTGGAGCCTGCTCCGAAGGGCTCATCTGAACTCTTTTAACCTCTGTAAGCAGGTAACATAGGGCAGGAAATCTTTTGAGACAGTTAGCTTCAAATGTTTCCTTCTCTTCAAGGCCAAGTGGTCCCTGTGGCATGCGGGGACTTCCCCTTTGTAGGTCTCCTACAGGAGGGCTGACCGGAGAGAATGCTCAGGTCTTTTTTCTCCCACCTTGCACCTTTCTCCAGATTTGTACAGAGCAGGAAGTACACATCAGAAAGGATTTAAGATAATAGTGTGTCAACAATGGAGATTGGAAACAGTGTTTGTTCTTTGGGATTCTAGCAAGGGGCCCCTGAGAATTTAGGCGTCCTTATCTTGTCTTTGTGCTTGGGTACTTACATTTTACAGTGGACCCAATGGCTGAGGACTGTTAGGTTGCCAAAGAAAGTTCTCCACAGGAGTAAAGGACTTCAATTTGTAGTAATTTATGAGCACCTATCAACAGAAGCCCATCTTCTCTCTCTTCCTCTAACCTTAGTTCCTGAGCTGGTCACTACCTGTTCTTAGGACAGTTGGCCTTCACCTATGCAGAGGGACAACATAGACACGTGTCCCTGGGAACTACAGACAATCACCTGTGACAGTTTGGCTACTCCACGGACAGTCCAAGGTGCTACAAGACTTGGCTCCCGTGCTCTTTCTCAACGGTTCTCAAGCCTCAGCTTCTAGCTGTTTAACTTAAACTAAGTTTCCTGGTCTTCCATCTACCAAACTTGGGGTATTTTCTCTTCAGCAGAGACATCAAGCAATTTAGCCAAACCAATCCTTGTAGAACACCCGCCCCGCCCCCGCTCCTGCCCCACACCTTAGGGAATACTTCCTACGAGGGCACTAGGTGGCAGTGTTGTTTCGTGCACAAACTAGGAGGAGGCCATGTAGTGGGGGAATGTCTGATTTCTTGGAGGACTGTCCTGCTTGGTCTCTGGGCTGCAATTTAATCATCCTCTCCCAGAATGTTGTTGGTAGGCATCCCTTGGGATCAGCTTCATTTAAATCTCATTTGCAGAGCCTATGTGAAAGGGCTAAGGTGGCATTTTTGAGGTTGTGACTAACTTGCACTGCTAGCAACAATAAGGAAAACAAAACCAACTAGTTACCCTCTCCTTCCACCCCAAGAGCCCATATTCTTCCAAAACAGGAAGTTAGACTCCAGAATGGATTTCCAGAATGCTTTCATTGAGGGTCAAGGGCAATGCAGGGCTCACAGAGTTTTAATAATGAAGGTTTCTCTGGCCTGGGGGTTGGGGAGTGAGTTGGCGTACCTGGGGTTCCTGCATGGTGGTGGTAGACCAGAAGTTGTCTATTTAACACAGCCGAAGCAGATCAACCAAGGCCAAGGCCAAGGGGAGAATGTGTGAAGCTGCTCCCCTGTAGGGTCCTCCATGATAGCAACAGTCAAGGGGCTGGGAGGGTCAGAGCGTTGTGGCCACTGAGGAGTAGCCTGAGGTCAGGAGCCCATTCAATGGAGCTACAGGACTGAGCAGCAGAATAAGCCAAATGCTGTCTTATTTGGTGTGAACTCTTTCAGCTCCGGCACCCAACCCTGAAACCATCCTATTTCTTTCCTTCCTTCTCAACTTCCTTTCCTCTCAACCCCAACATACACAAAAGAGAAAATTTTAATAGGTTCCTCTGTACCCATAATTGATTTCAAATGTTCCCTGACATTGCCCAGCTGAGTAACCACCTGCAGCTCCAAGTTTCAGGAGACTGAGTCACTAAATCCATAGCAGGATGGGAGCCTGAGCCCTGGTTTCTTCAGCCGACAAATATTTATTGAGTGTCTTGCCATGCAGAGCACAGCAAGTCACTGTGGGGAATTCAGAGAGATCTAAGAAACTGCCCCTGATGCATCCAAATATTAGAGCCCATCCCACGCAGAGTTTGGGAGACAGGCAGATATGGAATCAGATCTCTCCACTGACACTCATCACAAGTGTGCTTGTTGGCGATTTGTTGAGGTTTTTTAAAGCTCTGGTTTCCTCTAAATTGAAAAAATATATATAAATATACGACTCTATTTAAGTAAAATTACAAAAACTCTGAAAAATGAAAAATAACAAGAAGACAAAAGTCAGAATGTCTTGCAGAATTATGGTGATGTTTAAATTAGTCATGTAGATAAAGTGTGTCCAAAACATAGGATTCTTTTTATCCCCAGCTCTTTGTAAACTATTTTTATTTGAGACTAGGTCTTACTGAGTCACTAAGTTGCCTGGGCTGGCTTGGAACTTGCAATCATCCTGCCTCAGCTGGTATTACGACCAATGGGATTTATTGATGACCTGGCATGGATTATCACTGGGAGGCCTCCATTGCTAAGAGCTGTGTGTTAATTCACTCCTCTTTGGTTCTAACTCATTAAGCTTTCACTTTTCCCTAGGTGAGATATTAACTTTAATTCCTTAAGAATTTAGCTTGATAATCGGTAAAATAGGAATGGTGGCAAATAGGTTTTCTCACAGTAAGGCATTAAGATAATTAAAAACACTAGAATCAGAGTCCCAAAAGAACCATTTACTTTATTTTTTAAAATATCATCTGTTCTTTTTCAACCAGGTTGTTATATTTCAAACAAACTGGGCAATGATACTAAAGCCTCTTTGGAACCATAAACGCTTTTGAAAATCTAACGTAAGCTACACTCACTCCCTAATAAAATGTACATTTGCATGGCTTACATAACATTCAGAGCTCTCTAGATTTCCTGGTGGCCAGGTCTGCTGACATCAGGGAATTGTTAGGGTCTGTTGGTAGCTTCTCTGTTTTGAATGACATCTAAGAAATGAGATTTTACAGGATGTTTTTCCTAATAAGGTAGTTTTGTTCATGTGGAAGAGTTTTGTTCATGTGGAATATGGAGCTTTGTGGAAGACGGATTCACCCAGATATAAACAGGATATAAAAATGGGGTCACTTGTGCTATAGCTGTCGTTACCCAGTGAGACTCAAGGGTAGCTGAAGAGCTGGTCCACATCTTTCCCACAGCTCCTCTGAAGATGAGGTCCTCATGCCCCTCCTCCTCACTTGTCTCTCCTGGTAT